TGATGCATATGGACGATATATTATCATTCTCCTAGACATGATCAATTTATATTAATGTTTGATTTACTTTGCTATATTTATCGTGTTTGGTTGTTTATTGTTGTATTGAGTAATTATTGACAACCAAGATTGTTTGAATAACAATTCATTAAATTTACTTGTTTGCATATAATATATTTTATTTCCGTTTATTTGGTAATATTTCTTTAATTGAATGCAAATAAAGAGTAGTGATGATATGCAATTAAATGCATTCTTCCCAACTTTGTGAATCAAAATTAATGTTATAATTATTAATTTTATTGTATTTTGATTCTTAATGACTATTTGTTTGCCTTTTATTTGAAATTTAACCGTTAATTGAATAACCGTTACAATTGTTTTATGTATGATTAAATGTTATTCGATAATTTAATGCATGATTTGTGGGTTGATATGATTATGCATTTATGTTAAATGAGACAACTCATTACCGTTGTGGTTTTATGATTTTTATAATTAAATGCAATTTAGTCAGTTATGCAATTCATTAAATTATCCCTGATTTGAATCATTATGAATAATCATTCAATATATAGTTATTATAGTGTTTTTCCATAGTGATAATAATTATAATTTTAGACTCGTTGTTTGAAAGCATTGCCTGAAGCAAATGTCAAATATATGAAAGACTCTAGCTATTTTGAGGGCTATGAGCACATTAATAATATAATCCCTAAAGGGATGATAGAAAATCTAATATTGGGTCAAATCATGAAAGAAGCCAAACAAAAGTGGCTAATGAAATACGGCAAATTAAAAGAAAAATGGGCAAGTGTTATGAATCTCATGTCTTTGAGATTAACCTTACTATTAAGGCTAACAATATCTTCCCATAGTTGAGGCTAACAATATCTTTATTGGTTATTACTCCTGAAGTAGCAAAATTCGAATTATTTTATCAATTATCTATATACAAAATGATTTTAATGCCTCCATATGTAATGCATGTAATCACACATATTGATATACTATTATTACTAAAATATTGCAGGTAAGAAATGTGTATAAAAAGGAAAAATTACCTGTTTTGCTTCTAATATATATTAGCATGATTGAAAAACATGTCTTGGTAAATCAAAAGGATATTGATTATAATAGCTATATTATTTGGCATGACCGGATGAACCATCCCGGATCAACTATGATGCGAAATATTATTGAAAATTCATATGATCATGCATTGAAGAACCAGAAGATTCTTCGATTTATTGAATTTTCTTGTGCTGCTAGTTCTCAATTTTCACCAGCTAAAGTTAATATGATCATGAATATTCTTCGATTCAATCTTTTGCATTTTTAAAATGCATATATATAGGGTGAAATATATGGGCTCATTCACCCATCATGTGGACCTTTCAAATATTATGAATTTAATAGATGCATCTACAAAATGGCCACATGTATATCCATTATTAACTCACATCTTGATATTAGTGAGGATGTTTGCTCAAATGATAATATTAAGAGAACAATTCCTAGATTATATGATAAAGATAATAATGGTGGTGAATTTGTATGTCTCCAATTGATTGCTAGAATATTGCTTATGAGAACAAAGCTCCCTATTTTTTCATGGGAATATGCTATATTTTATACTGCAGTACTTGTACGCATCATGTCAATAAGTTATCATCTCCCCGTTACATTGGCTTATGGTCAGAAGCCAAATAATATTTTTGATGTGCGATTTAGATTTATATACTAATTACTCCACCACAACGCACAAAGATGAATCCCAAATATAGTTGGGGATATATGTTGGATATGAATCTCCTTAAATAATATATTGAAATAATGATTGGAGATTTAGTGAATTATTGTTATCAGTTTTTCCAACATAAGGGGGAGAGAATAAACAGTTAGAAAATACAGAATGCATTATCATTATCTCATATAGATCCACGCACCAAGCAAATATGAGAAAAAGGATATTATACATCGACTGCCAAATGATTTAATTGACCAATAAGTCTAATATTCCGACTGTTCATGCTCCAATTTATATTGTACATGAAAACCCAATGAAAACAAATGATCGGTTCTAAGGATAACAATCCTCAAAAATGGAGGAAATGAGCAAAAGATTAAAATGGTCATAATATGGAGACATAAAGACATAACTTTGATCAAACCTCAAGGGAGGTTCAGGTACCTGAAAATAATGAAAATCAAGAGATCTCTATTGGTTATGTCATTACAGGAAAAAGTTGAAACCGTAAAGATATAGTTGTCGACAACATTTTTTTTTGATAAAACAAGACGAGAATTTTGAAGCTAAATCTGTTAAAGAAATGTGAACAAAAAAATAATTGGCCAAAATATAATGACGCAACTCAAATTAAAAGTTTTTGAATCTAAAATCCAAACACGTGAAGGTGTAAAGCCAGTGGGGTACAAATGTGCAAAAACTATAATAAGAAAAATGAAGTCATATGATATAAAGAACGACTTGTAGCATAATGATTTTCGCAAATGCCTGGCATTTGTTCTCTTGTGGTGGATGCAATCACCTTCAGATGTCTTATTAATCTGGCAGTATATAAAAAATTGACATGCGTTTAATGGATGTTATTATAGCCTATTTATATGGCTTATTCAATCGATAATGAAATTTATATAAAAATCCTAGAAGGATTTAAAACTCTTGAAGCATATAAGAATTCTCGGGAAATTTGTTGAATAAAGCTTCAAATATCATTAATGGATTAAGACAATAAAGACATGTGTGGTATAATCACCTTAATATTATCGTATAATAAAGGTGAACATGGGGGGTTATAAAATTATTAAAGTGGATGTCTAACTTTTAAACCTCATATTTCTCCCCGATTATCCTTATTTGTAAATTTGTTAGCAGGAACTATTTCTTTTCGATATATAGATACTAGAATAATGCCGGAACCACACAAAGCTAGATTCCAAGCAGAATATTTATTCACAAGTGGAAGCACAACCATGGGATAATAGTAATTCATGAAGAAAGTCAAGAATGTGTTTGATCAAGGTCAATGACGTAACACATCCGAAAAGCATGCGATTTTTAGTTAGAAAAAGAGGTTCCAACAATATTGCGTGATGATAATGCTACTTGTATAGCTCAAATTAAATGGAGGATACATCAAAGGAGACAAAACGAAGCATATGTCACCAAAATTCTTCTTCACTCATGATCTTCAACAAAATGGTGAAATTGATGTTCAACAAATCCGTTCAAGTGATAATTTGGCAGATTTATTTACCAAGGCGTTACCTACTTCAAGTTTTGAGAAGCTCGTTTACAAGATCGAGATGCGTAAACTCAGAGATATTAAATAATGTTATCATCAGGGAGAGTGAAATACGTGTTGCACTCTTTTTTTCCTTCACCATGGTTTTAATGAGGCAACTCCTAATACATATTTCTTCTCAATAGGATTATTAGACATCCAAGGGGGAGTGTTATAAATAATTTATTGGTTGTCCATATTCGTTATATATCTGTTATGACTGTTCTACGTTATGGCCGTTGGAGACGTTATGGCCGTTGGAGAATAATTTTAGTTATTGTAAATTTCATGTTTCCCGAGCCTATAAATAAGGCATCATTATAGTATGACAATATAACAAGAATACATTCTCCTATTTCTCTTATATCTTCTCTTCTAGTTCTTATTAATTTTACACCAATTAATTATTTTTTTAACATTAATTTTATTAAGTGCAATAAAAAGCATTAATAAAGTGAAATAGTAAACAAAATTATATATATTTTTAAATTAATAATACTTTTTTATTTTGGAAACAAAATTTAAAAAATTATTTCTAAACGATGGTATATCCTGGCTCGTGTTTTGTGCCTTTTGACCAGAGGTGATCACTGGCACTTCTTTCTCCGTTTCGTTGTTGATAATCATTCTCTTGTGGACAGAATGAACAAGATAAAGGAGGAAAATATTTTCTGTTTTCATGCAAATGAGCTGCTGCCGCAGGGCATAAAATGATAGCCATTGGTAGCTAAAAGAGGAAAATGATAGCAATTGCTAGCCCCTTCGAGTATAAGTAACAAAAAGAAAAAATATTTTTACATAATTATGTAGTTATATATAAAATTGAATAATTTTTGTTTAAGAATTAAAATGATGTAACTTTTATACTGAAAAAGAAACGAAAATAACGTTACTTAAACTGAAAAGTGTTTTTTCTTTTGGAGTTACCCAACCCTAATTATCTCTTTGAGACGAGTTGGCTCCCTCCGGTATCCCCACGAGCTCCCTAAGTGTTTTCTAATATCTAAGTAAATATGAAGAGATTTTTTTTGGATATAATATTATAATTAAAGGGTTTAAATTATCTTATATTGATGAAGAAAATTTTCTTATACAAAAAGCCGTGCCATTCCTTTTTTTTTTTTAATTTTTTTAAAAATAATGGGACCCACATGATTTGTTTCTATAACATGATATAAGTTATCTTCTAGGAGTAGATTAATAAATCACGTAATTAAATACATGACATAATACAAACTTTCCAAATCACAAGACCAATACGACGGAGAGATTATGTGTCCTAGAATAGAACACGGGGCGATGCTTCTATACATGGAACCTTGTTCCAGTCCAACTATTCCTCGGGTCCTTTTTACTTTTCTAATGCTGGCCCATACCCTGTTCATTCCCACTTCCTTCCAATGCAATTTGACCCATGACCGAAAAATTAAATCTTTACAAGATTACAACAAAGATGAGTACCTTATTAACATGATCACATTTGCCAAAGCAGTTATCTTCGTCATGCAAGTGCTTTCGAGACAATAGAACTTAAAAGATAAAAAAAAAAAAAAACTACATTCTTGACTTATATTCTCACAGTAGAGATGAAATGAGAGACAATATAGTAGACACTAGAAAATAAAAGAAAGATAATTAAAGATTAATATTTAATAATGGGAGAGTGAAGGAGAAATTGTAGCCAGCCATATTCTAGAAGAGTATAGCAGGGGAGGAACGAAGGTCCATCTCATGGGTCCAAGCGGTCCGGTCTTGAACGTGCAAGTGCCAGTATGTTTGAGCTAGGGCATCAGGGTCCATTGTGCCGTCATCCCCTCCTCCTTCTCTGCTTTGCTCCCCAACTGAACCACTTTGCCTCCACAACATGCAAACCTAATTAGTACCCTTGTTTTTTTTGCTTAACTTAGATGACTCTCAATTTTATTATTTTTGAGTTAACTCAACTCTAATTATCTTTTTTAGTCAAATTAATTTTCTTTGATATATATCCTCCACAAGTTTTGACTCAAGCGAGTCATGAATGAAGATATTTAAACTTCTCCTAAAAATGATATGTGAAAATTGAATCAAAACACTTTTCTTTAAACTTATTTAGCTCCCTCGCTACCAAGGGAGATCACTGTCATTAATTATACATCTTCAGCTTGTTTTTTTTTTTTTTTGACTTGAATCAGAATCCATTGAAGAATAGGGAAGGTAGTTAAAACCAACCTGAGTGGGTTAACAACCCCATCAATGATAACATGAGCTATGTGCACTCCCTGAGGTTGAAATTCCCTCGCCAGGCATTGCGCTAGTGCTCTCAAGGCGAATTTGCCACAGCCTGTCTCATTAAACTCAAAATATCATTAATTTAACTATCAAAATAAATTAAAATACCTAGTTTGCAGTTTCCCCACAACTTGATCTGAAGGCTAAGACAAAAAAAAAAAGAAAAAAAAAAAGAATTAATTGATTATATAATATATATTAATTATTTACATAGTTGGGAGTATCCGGCCATGCCGATTAGCGAAGCAGAACAGCCCGTGAAAATAATTGTGCCCTTTCCTCTTTCCACCATGCCCGGCAGCACCTTCATTCATTCCATTCCATCAAAATTAACAATTCATGTTAATGTTAGCGCATGCACCTGCAGCTAGACCTATTTAATTTGTGGAATATTCAAATTAATGAATGAACCTGTTGAGCGCAGTGGAAGGCACCGACGGTGGAAACAGCAAGGGATTTGTGGAAAGTGTCAACGTGGAGATGTTGGAAACAGGTGGGGTTCCAAGATAGGGGCTGGTAATAAGCAATATAAACAAGAACCTCCACGAATCCGAGAGACAACACTGTTTCGAATGCATCCCTCACGCTTTTGGAATCCGAGCAATCAATGCGTATTGCAAACACCTGTGCTTTCTCTTCCCTCGCTATCTCTTCCGCCAAGCTTGACAATCTCCCTGTTGAGTTCATCAAACATGTATAACAAACATATATCATACTATATATATATATATATATATATTTTACCCCAATACAAATATATCTATATATGTCGTCATGTACTCATATAATATGATATATTGGGACGTGCCTAGGTCACGAGAGAGAATGGCAATGGTGTAGCCTTCGTGAGCGAACTTGCGGGCGACGGATCGACCAAGCTTGGGCCCAACCCCGACTATAGCAGCAATGCCTCGTGAGGAGGATGAGCTTGCCATGCTTCTTATCATCTCTCACTTTACCAATTAATATAAGTAAATAATAGTGGTGGCGGAAGACTTGAGGGTGAGAGAGATATAAGTAGTGGAAGCGAACTTGATTGGTGTTGGAGTGAGGGGATGAAACGTCCTCGGGCTGTCTGAATCATTGTCTCCCTAACAAGAGCCACTCATCCCTCCCTCCTCTCTCTCTCTCTCTCCCTCTCTCCCCTGTAGACGATAGGGCTTCCACTGTTATGTTTTTTTTTTTTCATAATATGCTCAATGGTGAGCCATTAATTTTTTTAGAAGAATTTTGGTTCTCTCGGAGCACTATTGACTCAATAGCCTGAACCAATCAAAATCGAATAATAGCTAAAGAGAGAAGAGAGAAAAATTATTTTTTTATCCAAATATTAGCTCAAGGAGCACATAGGGCATAACACTAAAGAATTTTCCTAATTTTTCAGTTAGATCAGGTATCAAAGGAAGAAATGATTTCTAGCAGTATTCTTTTCATATTATATAAAATTTTATGCTAGGGAAATATAAAAATTATGGATGTCATTAGAAATTGGATGTTCATGGCGACTCTAATATCACGATAAACAATCATTTCACTTAACATATCTTCTCATGTAAGAGTTATTTAGGTTTGATATGTGAATATTGCATAAGCTTATTAGGAAGATGGGGGCAATAAGGATTGAACTTGTAACCATCTCACCTAAAAGCTAAAACTATTTAGCGAAGGCACATCAATGATTTTATATATCTCTCTAACACACTCTCTCACATCCATAAATGATTTTAATATAATTTCTCTAACACACCTCCTACGCAAAAGTTTTTTGAGTTTGAAAATGGATATTGCGCATACTTTTTTTTTTACCTTGTGCTGATTTAATTTCACTAAAAAATGGTGGTATAGAGGATTGAACTCGTGACACCATGGTCATGACAACTCTAATACTATAATAAATAATCATCTCACTTAAAAACTCACGCTATTAAATGAAGGCACATAAATAATTTTTATATTTCTCTAAGATTCTAAAGCCAATAAAGTATTTTAGCCAATGCAAAAAATTTCAGCTGGTGCCAAAATAGCTACAGTTATATAGCTACATCCAAAATGTGGCTAATTTTCAAAAAATTTGAAACATGATTTGCTACATTTATATAGCTATGCTTGAAACATGGCTATATTAGCCGGTGTCAAGGTACGCACCAATGTGGCTCCGCCACTTATTCTAAATTAAACCTAAAATGCATGTTTAAGCCCCCTTTCATAATTTCCTCCATGCTTTAACAAAATATTGTCATGGGACAATAGTTAGGTGGTTGGCACAACATTGGGATATAATGTTATGTCTATTTTGTGTGTGTCTATTTCTCTCCACACAAACACAATTAAATCATCCATTTACCCTTTCTCGCTCCTCTCATTATTGGTTCGGGTTGTTAGCAATGCTGGGCATAATAAGTTATACCACGAAAGAATATGAAAAGTATAGCTGTTTTTTTATAAGGAAAGAGTGTTAGTTCTTTTAAAGGATACAAATTTAGGTCATTTTAAAAGAGAGATAAACACAAAGAAGAGTGAGTCTCACTGAAAAAATAAAGATAAAAAATAAAATAAAAGTGTGGATTTCATCTTTTTATGTCTATCTCTTTCTTAAAAAGACGTAAATTTGTATTCTTTAAAAGTACATACATATAATTTTCCCTTTTTATAAAGCACCAAAGTAATAATATATCCAATTGAAAATAAAGTAAAAAAAAAAAAATTAAAAGCAATGGCTACGGTTTATTTGGTCAACTTCGATGCAGGGGTTATATCTAATAAATTTGTCAATATATATATATATATATATATATATATATATATATATATATATATATATATATATATATAAAGTATGACCGGTCATACTTCAATATCCTTCCCATATATATATATATGAGACATGATCATTTGACACCGGTGTCAAACTTTAAAATTGGATACCAAATTCTAATCGTTAATTTTCGGCAATTAATAGTTATAATTTTTTGGGAATTAATAAATAATAAATAAGTTTGATTTGTAATAAATGATAATATTTGATTGACGGAAATCAACTGTTAGAATTTGGTGTCAAATTTTAAAGTTTGATACTGGTGTCAAAGGATCATGTCCCTATGTATATATATATATATATAGCTTATCATTTCTCAAGCTGCTTGAGAGAATTTGATTTCCGACTACTAAATCATAACTGTACAAAGATAGATCAACGGTGATAAAGGAATGGAGAGAAAAAGGAAATCATAACCATTCAAAGGTGAATCAATTAATATAAGGAAATAAATAAACAAAACGACGTAGTTTTGAGGTAGCCGGAGATAAACTTATCTCAAATTGCCGGAGAAATGTTTTTTCCATATATATATATATATAGGAAAACTATTCTTATGTTACATAAGATACATTTTCTCTCATACACACCCTTCGATAACTATGCCACATTTTTCTTTTCTTTTTTCTTTTTTTATTTTTTCAGGTGGTGGAGCCCACAAATTTATCTCTATGACATGAGATAACTATCTTCTTTAACATGAGATTAATAAAACCCTATATATATATATATATATATATATATATATATATATATATATATATATATATATATATATATATATATGGAAAAAATATTTCTACACACACTTTAGATAAGGTTATCTACCACTATACCAAAAACTACGTCGTTTTGATTAATGAAGGGTGCTTCTGTAATTTTAGGTGAATTAATGTAGGGTGTTTTAGTAAAATGAATATGATGAAAAAATAAACAAAATTACCGAAACAACCTTAGCTGTAGATAACCTTATCTAAAGTAGCTGTAGAAATAATATTTACCCCTATATATATGGATTTACATTTCTTTAGCTGCTGTACGTGCAGTAAGCAAATAATTGCCATATATATACTTGAAACTTTGAAAGCATTAAATGCGGAAAATCATAACCCTACAAAAGATGAAATCATTAAATGTGGGAAATCATAACCATACACCTGTCATTGCTGTACGTAAAGCGGCTGCAGAAATAATTTTACCATATATATATATATATATATATATATATATATATATATATATATATAATATATATCACTCGTTACACGCATTCAATTATAAATATTAAACTACAAAAATTCTAATGAGCAACAATTAATTATGAACTTAAACATAAGTTACGAAATAAAAAAATTACAAAGAACACAATTAATTTGTAAAAAAAGTTTGTAAACGAATTCTTCCTATATATATATGTATATGTATATGTATATGTATATGTATATATAGGATATGATCATTTTACACCGGTGTCAAACTTTAAAATTTGACACCAAATTCTAACTGTTAATTTTTGCCAAATCAATAGTTATCACTTTTTGAGAATTAATAATTAATTAATAAGTTTGATTTGCAATAAATGATAACAATATAGGATATGATCATTTTACACCGTGTCAAACTTTGAAATTTGACACCAAATTCTAACCGTTAATTTTTGCCAAATCAATAGTTATCACTTTTTGAGAATTAATAATTAATTAATAAGTTTGATTTGCAATAAATGATAACAGTTGATTGACGGAAATCAACTGTGAGAATTTGGTGTCAAATTTTAAAGTTTGATACCGGTGTCAAAAGATCCTACCCATGTATATATATATCACTCGTTACCGGCATTCAATTATAAATAAACTAAAAAAATTTCTAAAGAGCAACAATTAATTATGAACTTAAACATAAGTTACTAAATAAAAAATGGTTTTATTAATCTCATATTAAAGGAGATAAGTTATCTCATATCATATAGACAAACTTGTGGGCTCCACCATTAGGGGTGTTCATCAACCGATCCAAACCGATTCAAACCGCGAAAACCGAACCGAAAAACCAATAACCGAAAAATAAAAAACCGAAAAAAAACCGCAAATTTTAATTAGATTGGATCGATTTTCGGATGGGTTGATGAAAACCGATCCAATATATTAATTATCCTCTACCTACTTGTCTTTTCTCCAATCATAGCCCAAAAATTTCTAAACTCAAAACTCATTAACTCATCAACTAAATTCAAGAAAAAACTTAGTCACGTCTCATCAACTATAGTATTGTTTACTGATATTTTTGTATTTCAAAAGAAATTTTTTTACAAAGCCAATATATACAAAAGATGTTATTTGCACTATAATCATGAAACTAAATTTAGGATATTCAAAAAACCGAAAACCGATCCAATCCAAACCGAAAAAAATTGGATTGGATCGGATCGGATTTGAAAAAAAAATCTAAACCGAATGGATGATTACATGATCAAACCGAAGGGATTAGATCGGATGAGTTTTGCTTCCAAAACCGATCCAATCCAAACCGCGAACACCCCTAATCACCATTGATCCATTTTTGTACGATTAATTGATTATGATTCCTTATATTTATTTCCTTATATTAATTGATTCAGCTTGAGAAACGATAAGCCCTATATATATATATATATGAGGTAGGATCTTTTGACACCGGTGTCAAATTTGAAATTTGACATCTCATCTGAGAGCCATTAGATCAAAAAAGATCAATGGTGTCACATGCTTACAAATCAGAGTCATTGATCTGTTTTGATCTAACGACACTTAGATGATGTATCAAATTTCAAATTTGACACGGGTGTCAAAGAATCCAACTTATATATATATATATATATATATATATATATATATATATATATATATATATATATATATATGGAGGAGAGATCTTTTGACTCTAGAATAAGACTTACAACTCTTACTTTCCATCTTAGCCGTTGATTTTCGTCCATCTAACGGTTATTATTTATTTGAAATAAATAAATAAATAATTGTTATAGATAACCGTTAGATGGACGAAAATCAACAGTTGAGATGAAGAGTATATATATATAAAGAAGGTTCTTTTAACTCTAGAGTAAGACTTTTAAGTCTTAATCCTTATCTTAGC